GCCATGTTTTCCATCATGTGGGTTATCTTTGCTCTCTGCCAAACGTCACCACTGGAATTCACTATCCTCAGAAGGCCTGCATTTTCTTTTCTGATGTCCTGCAGAGTGTCTAAATGCAGGGACAACTCTGCAATGAGTTTAAGATGCTGCTTTTAAAATGGACTATAAAAGTGTCTAGCAACCACAGTTGCAATCAGTTTTGGAAGTACTTCATGTACAGTTTTATCCTGTTGATTGGCTCTCCAAAGAGGACATGTAGATTGAGTAAACTCAGATATATTTGCCAGTCTTTAGACAATCAGTACCTAATGTTTCCACTGCACAGTCAGCTGAGCTGGACAAGATAGCCTCAAAAGTAGTGTCCGCTTCATGCAAAGGTGGAGTATTTTTAATGAAGTTGTTCTTCTGGGTGGGAGAATGCCAGGTTTATTGTCATTATTTCCTACACAGTTCAGATTTAGGTTTTTCAGAAGGTAAAAATCTATAGAACGTAGTATGCATTTAATAGGCTTCCTTCTAACTAATAGTGCATGTAATTTTGCTTTAGCCTGCAAACAATGAAATAGTACTGAAATCATTCTTGTAAATAGCATACACGTCCTGTGGTTGGCTTTGCTTCAGCTGTTTCTTCACATTTGGCTAAGTGCAAGTAATAAATTGCTGAAAAACTGGAATACACTCTGGAAGCAGATTAATCATCTGACTCAGTATTGTCTTTTAGTTTGCCACGAGAAATCATTCCAATCTATGAGATCATGGCGTAGCTGGTTGGAAATTTTAAAGAGAGGCATGTAGTAGTACATTCGCCCTTTTTGCTGCCTTCCCTTTGAAACCTGCAGAATCTCAGCAAAGCAGAGATGACAAATGACTCTTCTTTATAAGTTTTACCACAAATATGTATAGCACTGAAAAATCAGGCATCCGAATTGATACCTCCTCGCTTTGTCTAATTTTGGACTTTGTAGGTGGCATTTATCTCATGAGATGCAGATTTACTCCCTGCCTGTGACAGGGGGGCTGGGAATCTTTAAGGTCCCTTCCAACCCAAACCATTCTATAATTTGTGTGTTTTACACTTTCCTTATAATCCATGAGAAGAAATGAACACCTGTAGGAATCTCTTCAGATTTCTAAAAACAGGTTGCATCAATTTCCCTTTAAAAGTCATTTTTCTTCCCATTGATGAAAAGGAGGCAGTGATTAATTCTGAGGTGCTATTGATGCTGCCCATGCAGGTGATACAGTGTCTGTTCTGTCTGTCCATGGGCAAAGGGTGGTACTGACTGATAAGCAGATCTAACACTTCAAGGCAGTTTGTTGGATTTGTAGTTTCCTTCATGTGCCTTTCCAAACTGCATTACAAATGTGTGCTAAAATATTCCTTGCAAATGTCCTTTGCTGTGAGGATGAGCAGTGCACTGCAGAGACAGGTCACAAATTAGGCTGACAATGCTTCTCTTGCTCTTGTGGGCAGATTAGGTGACATCTGTTGTGACCTTTATGTTGTTGTTTTGTTAGTTTATGTCGTTAAATATTTTTTATTTTCTGATGCCACTTTGCTTATTTGGCTGTATTGAAGTTGCAACTTTATTGCTCAACACACTGGGATGTAATGATCTCAATGGCAAGAACATTTCATCTTCTACTTGCATAACAAACAGGTTATGCTTATTTTATAACTGAGTTTTGCACTCTTCAGTGAACATAGTTTTGTGATACGCTGTGCCTCTTTTCTAGCTTGGTATATGCATGCAAAGGGGAGGCAAAGTGCAGTATGACTGGACTGTCAGAAAACTTACTGAAAGTTGTTATTCCTTTCTGCATCCTGGGGAGGGAACTGCATCTAGTGAAGTGACCACCATAAAACCCAAACAAGCTGTAGGTTGTGGCAAGGACAAGGATTATGTTATCAGGGACCAGGAGTAATGATGATAGCAGAAGGCACAGACATTCTGTGTCCAGAGGAAGGTTTGCTAGTGCCTGTTGGTCGGTGAGGGTGCAAGGGGCAGAGTCACAGTGGCAGTTGGGAGAAGGGGGAAGGAGGGAGAGAACTGTACCTCTTGATATCTATTCGTGGGAGTGATTTCTCACAGGGCTAAATAGACCAGTGCTGCTGATTTACCACTAGAAGATTTATGTCTGGGCAAAGTTACTGTTTCTACACACTTAAAAATTAGTGAAATTGATACTTTAACGAGGATGTTTTCTTTTGTAACAAGGTCTGGATCATGTTAACACCAGCCGATTTTCCCCTGGGATCCCTTCTCTGTCCTGATTTTGGGAATTGGCTATTTCTTGTTGACTGAATTCAGAAGAAAACTATGCCTGATTGTATAGAATTCGGCAGAATGGCTGAAGTTTGAATTTGGCTTGTATTGGTTAAATCAAGCTTTTGATTTGGTTGCCTATTGTCCAGTATGCTAATCCATGTTATTTCCAGCTGAGTTAAAGTGTAAAGTCATTAGAGCAGCGTGGGGCTTTTGTTTGGATGAGGAAAGGTTAAGTTCTGCAGGCAGCTCATACTGCTGCCAGCACGGCTGCTAATCTGAGTTTGGGGACTAATTACCTGTAGCAGCTGCAAGACAGAGTCCTGTGCTGAGCAGAAGTCTCGAGTAGGCCAAAGTTTGGAAAGCTTTGTCATGGGGAAAGTTGTTGAACATTTTTCAGGAAATCGAGTTCTGATTTAGTTCATTCAGATTCTTACCTTACTGCTGTGTTCAGCATCATAATATCCTAATTCTGACACTTTAAATAAGTTCTGAAAGTCCTGTAACAGAATCAATGAGCAATTTAAACTGTATTAGCCTGTAGCTATTTATGGACTGTCAAGATTGTTGTATTGTTTCTGAGTTGTTTCTAATTAAGCTTTGGGTAACCACAGATTGCTGTTGGGGGTGTGAGGGGTAAGGAAGCCAAAACACAGCTGATGAACAGATTTCAGAAACAGTCATTACTGGGGTCATTTGGAGATGAATAAAAATTACATGCAATTTTCCCCAGACCCTTCTGACTAAAAGTTTGCATACATTAACATTTCTGGGTATGCTTTAAAATGCACTCAGAAGCTGTTGTTTTCCTTTTT